GACTATGTATTACTCAAAACTTGAAAAAAAGGACTCACCTTTATATCAGCTTACAACAAGATCTGATGTTTTTCAGTGTTCTATAAATGAGACCTTACATCAAAAAGGCTCTGGGAAAGATTTCTCTGAGATTAATGCACTGTGGGCATTGTGCTGAGCATTGTCTATCTCAAGCTTCAAACACATCAAAATAAAAGATAATTAAAGATATATGGAAGGATATTTTCAAATGTGGGATGAAATATTTGCCTAACACCCACTGCGGGACAACTCAGCCAACAGGCAGCTCCCTATTGGGAACAAAGAAAGCAATCTTCATCCCTGGAGTAATTCCACAAGTAAAATGGGATGGATTCCTACAGAAAACTGTCATTATAGGACTATATTGAAAGATACTTACAGGCTTGCCACTAATTGGAAGTGGAGGACAGAATGAGATGGCCAGTGACAAATGGCACCCAATGGCTACATGATCTTTGGCCATGGTTATCTCCAAGCTGGATAACAAGCATGAGGATATCCTTGGGTATAGGCATGCAAATTAACACTATAGATTCTCCAGCCAACTCCCAAAACCTACAGCATTGGTGGGAACAAGCAATCTTTCACTGGGGTGATCCTCTGGCTTATCTCTATTCCCCAAACCAGGCTTGAAGATGTGATACAGCATATCAAGTCCTTTAACAAGTATACACAAAAATCCCTCAGTGACATACCTCAGAACATTTCACTATTAAGCAATAAGATGAAAATGATGAGAAAGCTCGTCTTACAAGATCAAATGGCCTTGGATGTATCACCTGCAGCACCAGAAGGAACAGGTGCCAACATTACAGTGGAATGTTGTGTTACCCCTGATAAGTCTGGAAATGTGTCTGCTACAAGACCTTGACTCTTAAAGTAATGAGTTGTCTGATTCTGCCCAAAGTTTCAATGACTTTCTAACCTCCAGATTTTCTGGAACATCTTGGCCAGAAAAACCTCCCCTTTTCTTAGCCCTCCTACTTGGCATAGCAGTACTTCTTTGTTGTTTGATCTGTTGTTGTGGTGGGCTAGTATCTCACGTGCCCAGGCTATCAAAGAATGATGATTCCACAACCAACAAATCCTGATCTTCCTATGTCTCCCTAAGATCAATCACGACAAAACCTTCCATCCCTGTCCAGGTAGTGTCATTGTTCCTTGTCAGCCAGAATCAGAATAGAAGACAGGTCTCATCCCTAATTGCCCCTTAAGATAAAGGGATAAAAGTCTGCGGGGCTGGGGCTGGGGCTGGGGCTCAGTGGTAGAGCACTTGCTTAACATGTGTGAGGCACTGGGTTCAATTCTAGCACTGCATGTACATAAATAAATAAATGTCCATCAACAACTAAAAAAAAATTAAAAGTCTGCAGGTGGGTGAGATAATGCAGTATAGGAGAAATAATAAAAAGGTAGAAAACAGACATAAATGAAGGAAAAAATAGGATAGAATTCAGAATTGTCCAGCCTGTCACTCTCTAAGACTGTCTTCCAGGCCTGTTACTCCCAAATTCCTGGGAAACCTGTAAATCTACCTGTGCCCTGTTAACTAAACACTCAATAAATTGATGAAGGGAGATGTCATATTTTGAGACCCCTATAATTTAAAAGACTTCTCAGCACTATGTGTTGATCAGATAATGAAGACCAAGTCTGCCTGACGATGCGGGGGTGGGGGGGGGGGCGGGGGGGGTGTTAACCAGGCCACTAGAAACCATCCTGAGATTACTGGACTGGTGTCATTCCTACATATCTCCCCATAACCACCCCTCACCAAGTTTCCTTAAAAACAAGAGTCTGGAATCTGGAATGGCCTGCATTCAATCCTTCCTGGAGCCACTTCCACTAGGACATTTACTTCTGTCCTCAGTAAGGCAGCATTCAAGCCCTCAGGAGACCTGGTGCGGGATCAAGCTGTTGCAACAGTTAAGGGTTCTGTGATACCAAGTGTTAGCCAATCATTGACTGCGCTATGAGCAACCTGCCCAAGCACACGCTCTTTGGTTGGCGCTGGAAGTCTACCTGAGTTCCAGGGTGGGGATTTAGCTCCCACCTCCAGCAACCGGTGGAGATTGCAAGAACCCGCACTGCTGGGGCCTTCAAGGTGCCCCACAATGACTCCCAGGAGATTTTCTGAAACAAGCATCTTGCAATCCTGGCCACCCAGCCCTTCCAGGGGTCCTAGGTCACAGAAACGAACCCCCAGCTTCAGCCCCTGTGAGACATAGAAAGTCAGGTGGTTCATTTGCAAACTATGGTATTCAGCCTTAACTGGGTTCAATTGTAGCCGGTTTAATTATGGCACTTTCTTTTTGCCCGCCCTGATTTTAAAATTAGCCAATCCTATAGATTGTACCCCAGAGTTCTCCAATCAGGGCAAAGGGCAGCGCTGCATCAGGTATATAAAGTCCGCCCCGCGCACTTGCTGGTCAGGTTCTGAAGGATTTTTTTTCATCAGAGTGAATGCCTACCTCACCCACTTTCGAGCACGTTGATTTCTTGTGGCACTTCATTGTTTCCAGCACCCCTGACACACAAAGTTCCTATGTGCCTCCGGGAGGTGAAGCAAGGGCCAGGCGGGTCTTAGGCATCTACCTGCTCTACTGCCTAAATCCTGGTCATGGGGTCTGCAGCTACATGGAGCTCACCGTCAACCCCACTGGTGGCAAGAAAGGGGAGAGGGGCTGGAAGACCAACTGGAAAAGGCATTTTTGGGCTGTGCAGGTCTTCCTCCTGGGAAGCAGGCTTTGAGAGGCCTCAGGCTCAGACTGGGAGATTGATGGCAAAGGTAAGAGTACAAGCATGCAAGGGGTGAAGCCCTTGTGAGGAGGCTCTAGATGGGGCTGGAGGCCAATGATGGTTAGGGATTCTCTTTTAGTTGTGCCATGGTGGGGTGGAAATGCACAGTTTTGACCCTCTCCTCCGGGGGATATGGTCTTCCTCAGAGAAGCCTTCTGGTCTGCTTTGGCTGCCCTTCAGGTAAAAAAGTCAATGATCCACTGCCTGACTGATGGGCCCAGGAATTGTCCCCTGCCTCGGCCACCCTCATGCTCTTCCTGTTCACAGTGTCCCCAGACATACTCACACACCTCAAACCTCCTGTGTCTATTGGAGTCACACCTGTGCCTGGAACTGCAGCCAGGTGTGTAGGGATCTCTGCACATTGCTTCTGCCACAGCCCAGCATCCAGAATTGCTAGGTGGGATCCCTTGGAGACCATGACCAAGCTGGGCCTATGCCTGTGATACCTGATTCAGGTGAGATCCACCCCAGTTAGGGTGGTATCTGAGGTTCCCATAACCTGGGTTCAAGGTGTTTGTTGAGAGACCAGGCAGCTCACACCCTTGAGCTGCTCTGTGTGGGAGGCCGACTAGCAGGTGACTGCATCTGTCTCCCCTTCTGGTTGGTGTGGCATCATCCTCGATCACTCTGTGATCTGGTTGCCTAGGTAACTCAGACAGTAGATCTTTAGGGTCGAGTGACTGTATCTTTACGCATAGGTGTGCCTTCCCACAGCCCCATGGGTGGAGCTATGCTCACCTATTCCTTTGTAATATTACCCCTTACTCTGTTTAGGATAGAAAGTTCCATGGAAACACCCTTTGTGTGTCCCCTTCTCTTTCTGTGCCCTTGGGTGTGGCCTTCGTAGATGTCAGTCAACCTGCTGACAGCAGACATCATGAAGCTAGACTCAGCCCCCTTGAAACCTGACTCCTTGCCTCATTTGAAAAGCTTCTCCTCAATAAGAGGGTTCAGCATGTGCAGGCTCGCTCTCCCTCTCTTTCTGTGGACCCTTAAGGTCAGAGGAGCCATCACAGTACCCCCAAAGAAAAAGGTATGTGTGTCTCTTGTGTGGTTATTTCACGCAGTCCAATTAGCCCAGCTCCCCTGGAATGAGCCCTGAGTGTTTTAGTTGTGAGCAACCCAGCAGCTCTGCCCCCACTTCTAACCTGGGAAGGGTAGTACTTGCGGGTCCTTGGACCCACCACTATTAACAGTTCCTTTGCCCTTTCTCTTGTGTGAAAGGCTCTTTCCTAGACCTTCAGAGTTGACCATGTGCCACCCTCCTGTGGAGCCCTGGCTCCATCCAAAACTATAGCTCTTCCTTGTGGATACCCTGTTTCCCCAATTTATGTGCTTATTGTGATATTGGGGGTAGAAGGTGGGGCACTTTATCACCGAGCTATAACCCCAACATTTTTTTCTTGCTGTTATTTTGACACAGAGTCTCAACAAATTAGCCAGGCTGACCAAGAACCTGTGGTCATCCTGACTTGGCCTCCTGTCTATGGGATAAAAGGTCCACCCCTCTGAGACTGGCCCACTATTGCCCTTAATGTATTTTGTTTCTTATAATTTATATATATATTAATCTTGTGATCAGCTTCCCCACTCTTCACAATAAATTCCAGGAAGACAGTTCTTGTTCACTCTCTCACAACAGAGTATAGCCAGGCACGGTGGCACTCGCCTATAATCCCTGTGACTTGGGAGCCTAAAACAGGAGGATCACAAGTTGGAGGCCCGCCTCAGCAAATTAGTGAAACCCTGTACAAAAATCAAAAAATAAGAAGGGCTGAGGATGTAACTCAGTGGTAAAGTGGCCCTGGGATCAATACCCACTACCAAAAAAAAAAAAAAAAAGCAGAATAGCACAAGAATATGGTCCATCAGTACTTAACAAATTAACAGATGGAGGTCTGGCTCTACTTCTCAGTACACGTGAGTTGCTCCTGTCTTCCTTTCCCTGCCTGCCACCTCTGATGGGATGAACAGTGTCCCTCTGTTGCCCTCATCAAGGATTTCCTCTAGGGCCCATGTGATCTGCCTGGCAGAGGAGTCCCTTCAGGAGGAGCCAGGGCAGCTTCTGCCCCTGAGGGCCAATGTCCTAGGTGAGTGCTGTCCTCTTTCCAGCCTGGCCTAGCTCTGGGGAGAGGGGCCCAGTGGTCCAGCCCAGGCTGGGGCAGCTGAGTCACTGGCCTTCAGGGCCAGGGCTACAGGGGGCTTAAGAAGCCTGACTCTGTATCATCTCCTACCAGCTTCACCTTTGGTTATTGTGAGAAGTCATTGCTTTGGGGAGTCCTGATCTGGCTGTGCCAGATGGGCACTGAGGAGGAAGAGGATGGCTGGGAATGAGAAGAGGTGAGAGGTGATTCTGGCCCTGGCCTCCCTAGCTGCCTCCATCTTCTAGGCTGCATTTGACCAACCTCCATGGGATCACTGCATACCTGATCCTCCACAATCCCAACCCTGCCCCTACTTTTCTGTCCCCTCTCCCCTCTACCAGAAACTGGACAGCTTTCATTGAGTACAATTAGGAGTTCGGAGACAGATGTGGTGGTACATGCTATAATCGCAGAAGGTCAGGAGACTGAGGCTGGAGGATCTCAAGTTCAAAGCATCAGGAACTTAGCAAGGCCGTAAGCAATTTAGCAAGACCCTTTCTTCACTATTTTAAAAAAAAAAATTTAATTGGGATGTTGCTCAGTGGTTAAAGCCACTGGGTTCTTCAATATCAAGTACAAAAAAAAAAGTTTTGAGTGATGGAACCTTCTGTTGTTTGCTGGGACACCTGGGTTTGGGGAACAGAGGTGTGAGGAGGGGCCACTGGCCCAACCATGTGTCCAGCATCCCCCCTGCCTACAGACCCTTCTGAATCCCTTTCCCCAGCTTACCTCTGAGGACACACTTATCTGGGAAGGCTCAGGAGACTGACACCCATGACTCAGAGCCCCTTGACCTCCAGTGCCCAGCGAGACTGGATTTTAATGAAAACAATAAGAGAAAAAGCTGAGGCGGAGCTGGGGAGGTCCCTTACATGAAGCCCTGTGGCTCTTGTGCCCCAGCCTCTTCGTGTCTGTCTCTGGAGGCCCTGAAAGTCCAGGGAAAGAAGCACCTGTGGGGCCATTCAGCAGCCATGAGTGGTGCCCCTGAGGTCACTCAAGATCCATGAGGCAGGGTCCCCTCCCAGAACTATTAGGTTCCAACATCCTTTTTCGATCCTGTCCTGTTGCCTCAAAAACAGTTTTCCTGGAAAAAGAAAAAGTGTGGTAAAAAGCCTTCCTTGCTCTGCTCTGCCCCCATCCCTTCACCCTGCCCACTCGGCACTCTGGACCTGCCCTGCTCTCAGAGCCTGCAGTTCCAGAAATGCCTAAGGCTGCTCTGCCCTGAGCCCTGGGTGCCTTGAGACCAAACTGGAGCCACCAGGAAGGTGAGTGGCCTTGCACCCCATTTCCCCCACCTTGACGTGATCTGTTAGAAAAAGCCATCTGTTAACCTTCCCTGCAGGGACAAAGTTTGGGGAGCCCTGCAGTAGCTGAGGGACCATCTGACCCCTGGGCTCTTTCTCTTCATTCTAGTTCTGTTGTTTCCTGTAGGTTAAACCCACATGTTGGATTTTAAGACAGGTGTGTGCCTGGATCCAGCTGAATGATAAGGATGGTAACCCTGATGTACCCATTCCCAAACCCCACCCTTCCTTCCAGAGGATAGCCATTCCCAGGACTGGCTCCTCACCCCTCCCACTGTGGACCCACAGAAAACAGCTTTGCAGTACCCACTCCACACCTCCACCAATCCCCTGCGTGCCCAGGAGGACACAAGCCTGGGTCCCTGCCCAGCTCCAATATCTTCCAGATGCTCCTTTCACTTGATCGGACACCTATTTGATCCCTTGACTGGAATTCTAACTCCCAGTTCTTTTCCCATGGACCACCCATCTCAATAGACAACTCCAGCCTGGCCGGAGTCCCCTTCCCCTCTTTTTCTGAGTGATCAGTTTTGCTCATTCATATGCTCATTCAACTGACTAGGCCCTCAACCAAGTTCAACTGCTCAATCAGTCCCATTGGTCCTGGAGCCAAGATGGAGCTTGGGTGGGGAGCCTGGCTGGCCTGAAGTATTTCCAGATGTGAAGGGCCCAGGGACTCAAGAGGGGAACATCAGAGATGAGCCCACTAGGGCTGTGTCTCAGCAGGGGAGGAAGAACAATGAGCTGCATGTTAAGAGTTAGGATGGGCAGGGCAGCTAGTGCACGGCCAGTGGTAGAGGACTTGACTAGCATGCAAGAGACCCTGGGTTCCACCCTCAGCACCACCACAGACAATACAAAACAAATGAAAAACAAACACAAAGGAACAGGCAGAGCCTGCAGGAATTTCTCAACTGCTGAAGAAATCACTAGAATCACTGGGAGAGCTTCCAAATCTGTGTATCTGGACTCCAACCCCTGATATTGCTGTGGCAGGGCACTGGGGTCATGGAAAGTTCTGCAAGCAATCAGAAGGTACAGCCTGAGCTGTAAACAACGGCACTGGAGTTAAACCTTCCTTCCAATCCTAGCTCTCCACTTAGTAGTTTAGAGAAGCTGGGCAAATAACTGGACCTCCTGCAGCCTCAGGGTCCTTATCTCAAAGCAACAATCCAGCGAATGCTGTTTTTTTATGGTATTCAGAGAAGCAGAGCAGGCGCTGGCCCCTGACTCAGCAGCATGGAGCTGGTCCAGGACACCTCCCGTCCTCCACTGGTCAAGGTGAAGGGGGTCCCGCTCATCAAGTACTTTGCAGAGGTGATGGGGCCACTTCAGAGCTTCCAGGCCTGGCCTGATGACCTGCTCATCAGCACCTACCCCAAGTCTGGTAAGTGAGGAGGGTCACCCTGCTCCCAAGCTGGGACTTCACTCCCCACCTTGGTCACCAGGGCCCAGCCCTCCATCCTGTTCATTTCTGCTTCTCTCTCTTCTAGGCACCACTTGGTTGAGCGAGATACTGGAGATGATCTATCAGGGTGGTGACCTAGAGAAGTGTCACCGGGCACCCATTTACATACGCGTACCCTTCCTTGAGTTTAAATGTCCAGGGGTTCCATCAGGTGTGTGGTGGGATCCAGGGGCAAAAGATCTTAAAGAAGGTCACTCTGGCTCCAGCTCACCATCCTTCTGCTGCCCGCACCTTAGGTCTGGAAACTTTGAAAGATACACCTGCCCCTCGGCTCCTCAAGACACACTTGCCCCTGGGCCTGCTTCCCCAGAGTCTGTTGGATCAGAAGGTCAAGGTGAGTGGCATTGGAGGCCACTAGGCCATTCCAGCTTTGGTCCTGTTCTGCAGGAAAAGTCTCTTCAAGCTTTGTCTCTGCACAAGTGGGAAGGCCACCTGTCCTCACTGTGGCAGGCCCAAGATGAGGAGGAGAGCAAGATTCTTCAGTGCAGACCCGAGGGCAGGGGAGCCTGGTGCTCAGAGGCTCACAGAGGGGCTAAAGGGTCCTCTGCCTGCCTTGTTCTCCAAGGCAGGCAGAGGACCCTGCCTTGGAATCCCAGGGGTCAGATTAGGATGAAGTATGACTTCAGGGACCAGCCAGGAGTCTCCCATCAAAGCTGAGTTCAGATCCCAGCTGCTGTAGCCATCCCTGAGGTCTCCAGCAAGTCAGCCTCAAGGCCTCAACGTGTTCCCTTGTCAAGCCGAGAGGGGACCCCCCCAAAGTGGTGCTGTGAAGTGGGCCAGGCACCAGGAGGGCAGGCAGTCCTGGGGTGTGTGCGTGGGGTGGTGTAGCTGGCAGAGGGTGTCGTCTGTCCCTGCAGGTGATCTATATTGCCCGCAATGCAAAGGACGTGGCTGTCTCCTATTACAACTTCTACAAAATGGCCAAGCTGTACCCTGACCCTGGCACCTGGGACAACTTCCTGGAGAAGTTCATGGATGGACAAGGTGGGCCCCAACATGGAGGAAGGAGAGGGTTGGAGCTGAGGACAGCCACCTAAAACTCTTACCAAATCCTGCTGGTCCCCTTCCCCAGTGTCCTATGGGTCGTGGTACCAGCACGTGCAGGAGTGGGGGGAGCTGAGCCGCACCCACCCTGTGCTCTACCTCTTCTATGAAGACCTGAAGGAGGTGAGATCCCCCTGATACCACTCCATCCATGTCCTACCTGGGGGACAGGAACCTCAAGGGACCTGACAAGGCCCTCAGGACCCTCCCCATTGGCAGACCCACCCAGCCCAGGACTCCCCACACTGCCTTCCTATCCAGGACTGCAGAGAGAGCTCATCTCAGGGCCCAGCACAGTCCTTATCTCCTAACACCTGAGTCAGCTACACATGTGGTCATGGGTCAGCTGTTTGTTTTCATGTCCCCCTGCACAAGGCTGCGCCACACCTGGGGCCACAGTTCTAAAGGAAGACTGACCCTCCTTTCTCCTAAGGCACTAAGCAGGGCTCACTCCAGGACCCTAAGGCAGAGAGCTAGTAGTTTTGGTCCAGGGAAAGAGGCCCAGGGTGAAGCAGCCAGGGCTGGGAATTTTTGAAATGGAAGGGGCCAGCTCCCCGCATGTGACACCAGAGAGGGGACTTCCCCTGTGTTTGCTCAGGAAGCAATACAAGCCCCCTCTGAAGAGCTTATATCTTGCTTCAGAACCCCAAAAGGGAGATTAAAAAGATCCTGGAGTTTCTGGGGCGCTCCCTGTCAGAGGAGACAGTGGATCACATCGTCCAGCACACATCCTTCAAGGAGATGAAGAAGAATCCCATGGCTAACTACACCACCATACCAACTGAGATGATGGACCACAGTGTTTCTCCCTTCATGAGGAAAGGTGTGTGCAGTCCAGGGTAGGCGGCTGCAGAAGGGAGGGTGGAACCCAGAGCCTACCCTGGGCCACTTCGGACCACCTATGTTGGCAGGTACTCAGGCCTCCTCTTCCCCCCCCCACCCAGGCATCACAGGGGACTGGAAATCCGTCTTCACTGTGGCTCAGAATGAGCACTTTGATGCCCACTATGCTGAGAAGATGGCAGGCTTCAAGCTTAACTTCCGCTGGCAGCTCTGAGTGGTGTCGTGGGGAGCCACTACAGGGGGGAAGCGTGGGCACAAGCCTGACCCATGACCTCAGGAATAAAACATGATGTGTCCAACAAGAGGCTCTGTTGGAAGCCAGGAGAACACCTGAGACAAAGTAAATCCCACTGGGACCAAGTAGGGCCCTCTGCCCCACAGTCTATAGCTCCTACCTGCTCTGTCGGGGAAGGGAAAGAGGATCTGCAGGAGGTAGACCCAAGAGACATGAGAGAAGAGGAAGAATATTTGATCCTGTAAGATCCTCTTTTGTTTCTCCCTCCAGTCTGCTGGCCAGCTTCACTTTTTCTTGGACTCCTTACAAGCCACATCTCTCTCACCACTTAGCTGCATCTTGAACCCTTTTCATTTTTTATTTTGAGACAGGGTCTCACTACGTTACTGAAAGTCTCCCTGTTTTGCTGATGCTGATCTCAAACTTGCAGTACTCTTGTCTCAGCCTCCACAGTCACTGGGATTATGGTGTGTGCACCACTACGCTGGACTTAGAACAGAGCCTTGAGGAGGAGGAAGTGAGGACAGTTAAGTACCTGGGATTGGAGGCAGGGCCTGAGTTCAGCAGGTATGAGGAGATATATAAGCACTAAGGTGGCGAGCCTCTTGGCTATGCTCCAGGATGGTTTTGAGGATGGTTCATGGTTTGATTGAAGGCAAATGCTGGTTGGAGATTCAGCATCTGAAGGAGATGCAATATGGCTACTTAGATGAAGGCTGCATTTCCAGTTGTTTATAGATTGGAATTCAAGCAATAAGAGTATGACGTTTTAGTGCGATGGACGAAAGAGGGAATTGGCTGAAATCCAATATTGGACAGTCAGAATCTCTGACTCGGAAATTCAGGTACATTGGATGAAGTACAAGAGAGAGTAATTGGAGCCCAACTGATAGCAGCAGCAGCAGCAGTGGGGTTCATTGGAGAGAACAGGGGTAACACAAACAGAGAGAGAAACACAATAGGGCAGATTAGGCACAGGAAAACCTATAGAACGAAAAGCAGGCTGAACTTAGCTGGACTAGTGGCTGCACAGTGAACTGGGTGCCTGAAAAGTGTTCTGTTTCTCAACTGGCAAGTGGAGAACAAGCGCTGGATTCATCTTCAGGCCATGCTGCAGCCTGGGGAGCCCTGGAGATCACAGCAAACATAACCGTACTCTCCTGGCAAGTGCCTACCATGTGGCCTAGTGTGTGCCTAGCAGAATATGAGTGAAACAAACAGGCACAGAGATACCTGTCCCCAGGGGGATTCAAGTCAGAGATAAGGAAGGCAGTGCACCTCACTTTTCCTTTGAGTCTGATAACTCGTGACCAGCTGAAGAAGGTTAGGGAACTGAACAGGTGTGATTACCTTGAGAGTTTCAGCCTGGTAAGGTTGTATTCATGAGCAGTGAAATGTGTGAGACCTCTGGAGGGTTGATTCCCCAGCTCCCTGAGTTCTCGGGAGGCTTCTGAGATCCAGATTCCCAGTAGAGACTGGTATCTGATTGTCACTAGGGGTGTATTGCTCCAATCTCCACAATCTCTATTGTGTATTGCTCCACACAATAGTGCCCCTTAGGAATGAGTAGACCTAAGCCATAATTTCCGTTCTAGAACTCTGCAGTAGCCCTGTCCTGGGAGTGCATCAGTCTGGTCTGTCCAGATAAAGCTCCAGTTGGCAGTACTTCTCAGAGGTAATGACCATCTATCCCAGTTGACAGTTTTGTCCACCTCAGTGGAGACAATCCTTTCACTTTTCATTACAAATCTACTTTCTTTCTGGTATCGTTTTGTTGTCATTGTCAGGAAATAAACATCTCAATAATAACAGTGAATATAAATGGTCTCAACTCTCCAATTAAAAGACATAGTCTGGAAGAAAGGATTAAAAAACAAAACCTAAATATACGTCATTCGCAAGAGACTCACCTTGCAGGCAGAGACAGCCGCAGGTTGAAAGAATGGAAATTGATATACCATGCAAATGGAGCCCTAAAACAAGCAGGAGTAGCTACTCTCAATCTGACAAAGCAAACTTCAAGCCAAATTTAATTAGAAGAGACAAAATGGTCACTTCCTACTGGTAAAGGGAAAAATCCAAGAAAAAGATATAATGATAATAAATATTTATGCCCCAAACATCACTTAAATACTCAGAAAAACCCTGGTATAATAATACCCTGGGTGATTTCAACAAACCTCTCTCAACATAGATAGGTCATTCACACATAAACTCAGTAAAGACTCTTCAGACCTAAATATATTATAAATCAAATGGATTTAACAGACACCTATAGCATATTTCATCCAACAAGAACAGAGTATACTTTCTTCTCAGCTGCACATGGTACCAAAATAAAACTAATTTTAGGCCACAAAGCAACCCTTACAAAAATACCAAAAAAAATCAATATAATACCTTTTATCTTATCGGATCATGATGGAATAAAACTAGAAATCAACACTAAAAAAAACCCTGTAGAAACTATATAAACATGTGAGGATTGAAGAATGAACTTTTGAATGATGAAGGGATGATAGAAGAAATAATCAGGGGGAAATTTTAAAACTTCTTAGAATCTAATATATCAAAACCTCTGCCTGTGGGACTGGGGTTGTGGTTCAGCGGTAGAGCACTCGCCTCAAACGTGCGAGACCCTAGGTTTGATCCTCAGCACCACATAAAATAACTTAAGTTAAATAAAGGTATTGTGTCCAACTACAACTAAAAAATACATATTAAAAAATAAATAAATAAACCTCTGCCTGTAATCCCAGCAGCTCAGGAGGCTGAGGGAGGAAAATTGAGAGTTCAAAGCCTGCTTCAGCAAAAGCAAGGCACTAAGCAACTCAGTGAGACCCTGTCTCTAAGTAAAATACAAAATAGGGCTAGGAGGTGGCTCAGTGGCCGAGTGCCCCTGAGTTCAACCCCTGGTACTTCCCCACCACACACACACACACACACACACACACACACACAAAACCCTCTAGGATGCTTTGGATCATGGTCTTTGACTGCCTCAGAGCTATGGCTGCACTTTGCTCTGAGAACTTTCTGTGCAAAGGTACAGGACAAGATTTCCCAGGAGCTATGGTAAAGCCCTGCCTGAGGCAGTTCTATGCAAAGGCACAGAACAATAACAGTCTTGACCTTGAATTCAGACACCACCTTCCAGGGATAGAGAATTCTGAGCAGAACAAGATAACCACAATACCTTGCAAGTGCTGCAACCTTCAAGCCTGCCTGCTTTGCAAGAGTTTTGGATAGTGGGCTTCCTGAGTGCAGCAAGAGAATAACAGGATGTTCCTAGCACTGCAACAGTAGAATAGCTACAAAATGTTTCTTGTTCTGTACCTTTTTAGTGCACAAAGAAAAATGCCCCTATAGTTTTGACTTCCTGATTGTGAGGCCCTATATAATAAATGTGCTGAACCAGGTCTAGGTAACTGTTCCTCCATCAGAGGTCAGTGTCCCTCCTGGTCCCAGCGCTCTCTCGCTCGCGCTCGCTCTCTCTCTCTCTCGCTCTCTCTCTCTCTCTCTCTCTGTTTGTGTGTCTTCCTTAATCCCCCACCACCCATCACCAGTTTCTAGGGTTTGGCCGGGCAGTTCACAGCAGGAAACTATCAAGGTAGTTCTAAAAGGAAAGTTTATAACTGTGAATGCCTATATGAGAAAATCAGAAAGATCCCAAATAAACAACCTAATGATGTATCTCAAGGCCCTTGAAAAAGAACAGATAAATTCCAAAGCCAGTAGAAGGAAGGAAATAATTAAGATCAGAGCCAAAAATCAATGAAATAGAGAATAATACAAAGGATCGATGAAATGAAGACTTGGTTCTTTGAAAAGATAAACAAGATTGATAAGCCTTAGCAAAACTAACAGAGAGAAAGAGAGACCCAAATTAAATAAAATTAGAGATGAAGGCAGGCAAGTGGCACATGCCCATAATCCCAATGGCTGTGGCAGGAGAATCACAAGTTCAAGGCCAGCCTCAACAACTTAAGAAGGCCCTAAGCAACTTAGCAAGACCTTGTCTCAAAATAAAATAAAAAGGGAAGGGGATGTGGCTCAGCGGTTAAGTGCCCCTGGGTTCAATCACCAGTACAAAAAAGAAATAAAAATGAAAAAGGAGAAGTCACCACAGACGTCATAGAAATCCAGAGGAGCATTAGGGACTATTCTGAAAACTTACACTCCAAAAAATTGGAAAATCTAAAAGAAGTAGATACATTTCTAGATATATGTGACCTGCCAAGATTGAATCAGAAAGTCATAGAAAAATTAAACAGACCAAAATCTAGCAATCAGATAAAAGCAGTAATAAAAAGTTTTCCAACAAAGAAAATCCCAGAACGAGATGGAGTTTCAAATAATTTCTTCCAGAACTTTAAAGAACTAATGTCAATGCTTCTCAAATTATTGCATAAAACAGAAAGGGATAGAACATCTCCAAATTCATTCTATGAAGCCAGTGTCTGATACCAAAATCATATAAGGACACATCATCAAAGAAAACTATAGACTAACATTCCTGATAAATTCAGATGCTAAAATTCTTAATAAAATATTAGCAAGTCATATTCAACAAAATATTAAGAAAAGTGCACATCATGACAAAGTTGGTTTTATCACAGGTTGCAAGAATAGTTTAACATATGCAAATCAATAAATTACACATAAATAGAATTAAGGACAAAAATCACATAGTCACCTCAATAGATTCAGAGAAAGCCTTCAACAAAATTCAGCCCCCATTAATGATACAAGCACTGAAGAAAGTAGGGAGAAAAGGAATTTATCCCAACATCATAAAGTCTACATACAACAAACCCAAAACCAACATCATGGTGATGGAAAAAAACAACAACAAAAAAAAAACCTGAAAGCATTTTCTTTAAAATCTGGAACAAGACAAGGAGGTCTCCTCACATCACTTCTATTTAATATAATTCTTGAAACTCTAGCCAGAGCAACCAGGCAAGAGAAGGAAATTAGGGCATACAAATAGGGAAAGAAGAAGTCAAATTATGTTTGCTGATGACATGATCCTATGTCTGGAAGACCCAGAAAACTCCACCCAAAGACTTCTAGAGCTGATAAACAAATTCAGCAAAGTAGCAGATTACAAAATCAACATACAAAAACCAATAATGTAAAAATGGGAGCTCATAACCCACTTGAATCAAAGTGTGAAATATGATATATCAAGAACTATGTAATGTTTTGAACAGCCAACAATAAAAAATTTAAAAAAAAGGGAAACTCAAAAAAAAAAAACCAATAATGACTCTTCTGAAAAATAATCAATCTTTTCTATATATCAGCAATAATTTTTCTGAGAAAAAAAGTCCATAAAACAATCTCATTTGCAGTAGACTTAAAAAAATTAGGGATAAATCTAACTAAGGAGGTAAAAGATGATGAAAAATACAAAACATTGAAGAAAGAAACTGAAGAAGAACAATTAATATAGTTAAAATAGCCACAGTACCAAAAGCAATATATAGATTCAGTGCAATACCCATCAAAATAACCAGTGACACTCTACACAGAACTAGGGGAAAAAAGAGTCCTAAAATTCATTAGGAAGAATAAAGACCCAGAATAGCCAAAGTAGTTCCAAGCAAAAAAAGCAATAATAGATGCATCACAATACATGACTTCAAATTATATTGCAGAGCTATAGTAACAAAACTGCATGGTACTGGCACAAAAACAGGCACATAAACCAGTGGCACAGAATAGAAGACACAGAGACAAACCCACACAGATAAAGATCCTTAAAAAAGCATTCAAAAACATACATTGGAGAAAAAGAGCCTTTTGAACAATGGTGCTGGGAAAACTGGTTATCTATATGTAGATGAATGAGATTATATCTTTATTGCTCACCCTGCATAAAAGTCAACTAAGAATGGATCAAAGACCTAGGAATTAGACCAAAAACTATGCAACTTGTAGAAAAAAAAAAAACATAGGATCAACACTCCAGCATACAGGCAATAACTCCCTCAATAGGACCCCTTAAGCTAAGGAAACAATGCCAAGAATTAATAAATAGAATAGCATCAAATTAAAAAAGCTTCTGCCAAGCAAAGGAAACAACAATGTGAAAAGAGAACTTTCACATGGGAGAAAATCTTTACTTGCTTCTCTTCTGACAGAGGATTAATATCCAGACTGTATAAAGAACTCAAAAAAGTTACATTAAAAAAATAACACAAATAGGAGATTGGTTTGTGACTCAGAGGTAGAGAGCTCATCTAGCATGTGTGAGGCACTGGGTTCGATCCTCAGCACCACATAAATATTTAAAAAAAAATGTGGGGCTGGGGTTGTGGCTCAGCGGTAGAGCGCTTGCCTAGAGCGTGCAAGTCCCCGGGTTCGATCCTCAGCACCACATACCAACAAAGATGTTGTGTCTGCCGATAACTAAAAAATAAATATTAAAAATTTTTTAAAAAGAAACATAAAAATAAATAAATAAAACAAAGGTATTGTGTCCAACTACAACTAAAAAATAAATATTTAAAAAAATGTGTCCACCTATAACTAAAAAATAAATATTAAAAAATAACCCAATTAATAAATGTGCAAGTAAACTAAATAAATAACTCTGAAAAGAAAAAATACAAATGGCCAACAAATATATGAAGAAATAGTCAACACCTTTAGTAATTAGGAAAATGCAAGTCAAAACTACATTGAGGACTGGGGTTGTAGCTCAGTGGTTCAGTGCTTGCTTAGCATGTGTGAGGCACTGGGTTGGATTCTCAACACCACATATAACTAAGTAAAATAAAGGTCTACTGACAACTAAAAAATACTTTTAAAAAA